TGGATTGACTTAGCATAGAAAAAAATAACATTGAAAATGGGCAGGACAGTTAAGCAAAGGTATCCAACATGCTAGTCACTAGTGACATGTAGCTATTTGGCCAGTCATTGGCTTGAACAATGTGGCTAGTTCACTATAGCAGTATCCACTATAGTAGCTACTTCTTCAGAACTGGTTGAACACCATGAGTTTAGGGCCATTCCCTGGTTCTGCATACAATAACCGAGTGCAATAGATACTTATTTTACATTAAGTTTTCAGTAACACAAGCAATTTGATTTATAATGTTATATTTATCATTATTACAGGAAAACATCTGGCTTAGGGGAAAGGAAAATAAGCATCACAACCTCTTTTGCAATAATGGAAATAATATCAGTAACACAAAGCAAAATTAATCATGATCACTTTTGGAGATAACTAAAAATGACCAGGGAAAAATTACAACACGGGATTTACAAATAAGGGAACCAGGGAAAAATCTTATGAATGGTTGATAAGAAAATAATATGAAAAGCCTTGATAAATGAGTAATACATGAATAGATAACAAATGCCAGGACTGATTTATCAATTGAAAAAGTTGGGCAAAAAAACAAATCAGTTACATTCTTCAGAAGTATACCCATGAAAATAAGTTATAAAACCCCAATTACATGTTCCCGAAACCAAACACATGATGTCTAAGTCAGTGGCTCTCAACCTTTCCAGACTACAACACCCCTTTTACGGAGTCTGATTTGTCTCGTGTAACCCCATATTTTACCTGACTTGAAAAGTACTTGCTTACAAAAATCAAAGAAAAATATAAACATATAGCAAACTACTACTGAAAAATTGCTTATTTTCTCACTTTTCACATGGAATATACCGTAAATATTGTACATTTCAGTGGATAGTATACTGATTAGTATGAACAAGTGATGGTATGACATTTTAATTTGTTCTGAATTTGCTAGTGCTTTTATGTAGCCTGTGGTAAAACTAGCCAAAATACCCAGATCACCTGATGTACCCCTTGGAAGGCCTCTGCACACCCTAGGTTGAGAACCACTGATGTAAGTGACTGAAAATCAAGTATACTGTCAAAACACAAGATCCATTTCATGAAGAGAAAGGAAACAAAAAATAAAAACAAACGGATTATTTTCTATAAGTAAGAATTAGAAGAGCAAACATCTACCTATACATTTCAAAATGCTTGGTGACAGAGCAAATGTGTTGTATTTAATCAACAACAGATAAGTTTAATAAAGCTTTAAGCCAATTTACTTGGAGTCTCTGTGTAATGGGCACTTTTGGATAGATTATATCAATTTATGAAGTAAATACTTTTTTACCTCACTAGTGTTTTTCACATCACTAAGTTGCAGGTTTATTTCACTTTCAGGATAATTCCATATATCAGTAATTTCAAGCTACGATGCTTTTCTTTTGTCCTAGCTAGCCTGACACTATACTGTTGCTGCACATTCTAGTAGTCTTTGGGTGATTTCCAAATATAGTATTACATAAAATAATACTAATTCCATAACTCATGCCTTTCAAAAAACAAATAATCACACGTTCATGTTGTTGTAAATAAATATGCTATAATTTTATAAATATTAAAAGCTAGGTACTAAGTATACATAAGCTGCCAAATATACAACAATCAACTATTCTAAAGAATGAAAAGTCATTCTTAGACCTGGAAAACTAGTTTGCGTTCTAAAAATTAGCTTTGAGATATGCCTAAATACACTATGTCACTGCTATTTTCCAGGCTTCTGAGTGCTCTGCATTGGCCATCGTATTGTAGCTCCTGTACTTTCTCAACAGGAATGGATGGCCAGGGGATCCACAGTTGCATGTCATCCTACCTGGCTCTGAAACTATTCTTGAGAGAAAATGTAACACTGCCCTCTGACAGCATTGCTTCACTCATGAAATGCACACAACCTGTGTAGGCTTCTTCAAATGCTGTTCTATTCCTTTCCACAGCAACCACACTGGTTCCATGCATCTCAGGAACAGGATTTGCCCCATGCTGAATTAGAGAAATGTTTTCTAAAGCCTGGCAGTGATCTATTTTATTTACAGATCCAGAGTCAAGTGTGTTTATTCTTCCCTTTATACACTGATGCTTGTTATGATATTGGTCCAATCCTGGGTGAAGAGCCAGTCTGGATTTCTTACAGAAGAATTTGAAAAATCACTGTCCATCATCTGACAATGCACTGATTTTTTACTCCATTTCCTCCCCCCATACACTTTCCCTTGCCTTTCTTTCAAGTAGAAGAAGTTTCTCAGTGAAGTCGCCAATAGAAGTCACCTGCTAACTATCACTACTGCAATCCTAAAGTAATAGACAATATTGTACTGGCCAAATTCAAATTCAGGTAATTGCATTCAAACTAAATAAATTCCTTAGGTAGTTTCAAGAAGATAGGGCATTCTTCACTCCTTGTCCTAAACTGTTACGTAGGCATTGTTACACACTATAAAATAGTTTACTCTTTACCTCAGCAGTGCATGTCAGTGGTGAATGAAGTGATCCATACTTATTTGTAAATCAGTTTGTGACAACCTGTAAAACAGGTCTTGAAGATATAATATTCCTCTTAACCTGGAGATCAGAGAGCATAACAATTATCCATAGATCTTAGAGATGATTAGTACTTCTAGTTTAACCACTTGCATATGTTTTGGGAGTCCTCTATTCTATTTCCCTAGTAATGAACACAGAAAGTGGATTAATCCACATAATTACCTAGAAAAACAGCATTATTCTTATTTGCTGGAAATAAGAATGATTTTAGCCAACTCCGTTATAATAGTTTAAAAACAGGAGTGGGCAATAATTTTTTAAAAGGGGCCACCCCAGAAGGGGTGGAGCCTCAGGTGGAAAGGGCGTGGCCAGGAGACTTCTTGTGCTTCCCCCCACCCTGATTGGCTTGGGGTGGGAGAGTGCAAGAAGTCTTTCTCCTCCTTCCCCTGGTCCCTATAGATAAATATCAGCTGTTTTAAAACAGCTTGCGGTTCCTTCTAGGTGCCCAGTGGGAGAAGGCTTAATATGCTCCCCCTGCTCCCAAGCCAATCAGGGACTGGAGGCAGGGGAGCGTGCAAAATCTTCTCGCCCCCGCAAGAGCATGTGGCAGCGAGAGAGACATGCTGGTTGTTTTAAAAAACAGCTAGTGTATCTCTCTAGTGGCTGAGTGCCCCTGGCAGGGCGGGGACAGGACACGAAAGACTTTGTATGCTTCCTGCCCCCAGGCCTTAATTGGCCTGGGGACAGGGAGCAGGCACAGCTTCCCTCCCCAAAGGCATGTGACACCTAGAGATAAATGCCAACTGTTTTAAAACAGTCGGTGTGTCTTTCTAGCTGCTGCACAATCTTGCGGGGGCGAGGAGACTTCACATGCTCCCGTGCCCCCAGGTCCTGATTGGCCTGGGGAAGAGGGAGTGACAGGGCAGTCACAGGCCAGATCCACTGTTTAAAATCCCATGGCTTTTTAACATATTTTCTGTGGCACGGTCTAATATTCTAGCACTAAGGCCACATATCCTCTAGGAAACTATTTTGAAATGACTAAATTTGACGTAACTCCTGATATAACAAATTTGAACTAGAGTATCTTCACTATGAGGAAGCCTCAAAATTAGTCTGAGGCAGGCTCCATTAATGTGAATGCACTACCTTGGACTTAGAGCCCCAGGAAGCACTCTGGGGAGTTGTGGGAGGTCTCCCGGCAGCCAATAAATTTGAATTAGCGGCACTGAAGCACCCACACTACCGTTATGTTAAAATTACTATTTGGAATCAGTGTTACTCTTCTTGAAAAGAGTACGAATTCTACAGCCCGTTATTTCAAAATAGTGGGTTTGATTGTATGGATGCATCGCTTACTAATTCAAACTTGGGTGGTGGCTATTTTGGAATAAGGACCTACTGTAGACCAGGGCTAAAACATTTTGAAAAACTGGTTGTAATACTTTGGTAAATATTTTTTTAAATTCTTCTGTCACCACAACAATTTTAACTTCTGCTTGCCCATGTGTGTGTGGCATCAAATACTTAGATATTCACAACCTGTGATGTTACAGGTAAGGGACGGTAACATTTCTGTTACACATTTATACTTTCACAAGTGTAACACTCAGATGAGAAGTCACTCCACATTAATACTCGTTATAAAAGATCTTATGAAAACAATTTATTTTTAATCTTTTGGGGAATAGGTTGGGGAAGGGAAAAGTATGAATGGAACAAATAGGTATATGTAAATAATTTGGCAAGAGATTTGTTCATAACATGGTCTAATTGTTTTTGGTATTTTTAAGTAGAAAATAATAATATACATTGATATTTATCTATTACACAATAACTGTTTCCCATGATTTTCTTGTTTCCTATAATCAGTATGTTTCCTAATTATGTAATTCTAGCACTAGACTGAATAGTTCCAGAAGACCCATTTACTCAATTTGCTCAGTGACTCTGGAAATTTAAAAAACCTCTAAACAAGCCATTATATACATGTATTCAAACAGTCTTGGAGGAGTTCTTATGAATTAACACTCATTTAAAATAACCTTTGTAATATGGTACACTGCTGTATATACATTATATACCATAATGGGTCCAAAACAAGCTGCTACAGATAATAATTTAAAACATTTAATTTTTTTAAAAATCACAATTAAAAACATCTCTAAAGGAAACTAACTATAAAAGCTACTTTAAGGTAATACTAAGTCGATTTCTATCAATTGGGATAAAGGAATGAATATTATCCAAACAAACACTCCATCTTTAACACTAATGCTATTGTATCTAATTATTGCAGGAACCTAGGGTGTATGTTCAAGTAGCTTACTAGATGGCTTATAATTCTAGTGAGCACTTTGGTTAAGATTGGAATGTCTAGCCTTACCCCTGAATTTTTCTCTTTTACAGATCTAAGTCAGAATCTTGACCTTATATGAACTACATAGTTATGCAACAGAATTCAGATGTCTGTTTATTTAAATCAGCTTCCACAAACATCTTGGATATGTGTGAAAATGTCTTTCAATCAGAGTTTTCACAGTTTTAATAAGGAACCCCTAAGTAGAACCATTATATTCAATTTGATTTGATCTCTATAGACAAAACAGTTAAAACACATTTACTAACATTAAATACAGTCAATTTGCAAAAACATACAATCTGACAAATATTGTCATGTGCTCTTGCAAAGAGTGCATAGGATATATTTCTGCAGCAATCAAAACAGTAAAATCATCTGATGTAATCTCAAATTCAAGCTGTAAACATTCGTAATTTGTAGTTTTTTTGGAAACAATTTGTTCCTTTCAAGTTATTATTAGCAACTTGCACTAGGCTTTGCCCTTTAATTTTTTTCATCAGCTTTACATTACATTATTTTCTGTCTTTAACCCTTTGGTTCTCCAACACCAGTAACATGTTCATGCTTAGATTCAGTGTAGTGATCCTTTCCGTCCAGTGCATAATGAAATCTTTCATATGGAATTCTTGTTGAAGTCCCTAATGCACAGTCTTGAGAAAGAGGCTGATAATGAAGCCAGCTATGCCTTGATAGGATTTCCTGCAGGTTTTGGATCATAACCATATAGGAATGTAGCTGCAATCACAAGAATGGCTCCAAAGAAAAAAACACTGAACAGAATAGGAGAGGGAAAAAGTAACTTTTTTCAGACAGTAAAAATGTATTTATATTATCTAGTCATGAAAAATTACATTCTCTACAGTATTTCTAGTGAGGGAGAAACATGTTCCTTCAATTTGTAATGAACTGACAATTTATTCATCTACTACTCTTAAATTAAAAGACTAGGAAGAGATGGAAAGGAACTAAGAATCCTGAACCTATCAACAATGAAATCATGATATTTCACTGAAATATTCCAAAGATTAAGCAGGATTGTCTCTTCATGAAGCAACTGCCAAAGGATAATCAATCTAGCTGCATATTTTTAATCCCCTGAATTCCCCCCCCCCCATCTACAATACACAAGCATACAAAACTAACCACAGAAATTATATTTGTTTGCTGTCCAATCATCTACTACTATACATTTGAGAGTTTGTGTGTCTGTCTGTCCATCCATATTCTGTGAGTCTGTTCAAGAATTCCTCCTCAATGGTAAGAGCTAGGACTACCAAATTTGCTATGCACTTACCTCTTATCATAACTTAAAGCAAGGTAAGGGTTTGGTTGTGCCTGGATGATGGGATGTTCCTGGAACGTGACTGTTTCTCATAAAATGAAAAAAGAGGGAGTCTGGCAAGAGGGATGCTCGCGACCTCCTGGGGGGTCGAGACCCACAGTTTGAGAAACGCAGCTCTGGTGTTTTAACATAGTTTTGGCTGTTCTACGTGCAATGTGTCAAACAGCTTTAAAGTTTTTCTGTATTAGAGACCCAGGCTATGTTTATTTTAAATCCTGTTCTGATAGACCATGTGCCAAATTATATCAGAACACTGAGGAGCAAGAAGGACATTGATATTGTTAACAAAGAAACAGTTTAAATGTATACAGGGCTTAACTGTTGTAATACAGTGTTTACACAAACACACACACTATACAGACTAACACCTTTTCATGAAATACTAGTACTCAAATACTATAGGGAGACTTTAAAACTTTTTAGAAGAAAAACATTTGAAATATTTTCAAATATATATGCATTTAAAAACATTACCGTGGAGATGTGCAAAATTTTGATAATTTGAGTTTTTTGAACATATGTAGTATTTTGGAAGTGCATCCCAAATTATAGTGGTGCAGTACCTTGCAGTGCCACAAAGAAAGTATTTAACTTGCTCAGAGGCATACACAATTATGTACTTTACATAATTATCCCACTGAGAATTGTTTGCAGACAATGGAGAAACCACCTACAAATTTCTCTACAGAGATATACAGCATGTTTTGCATCTACCCAGCAAGGCTATGTCTCCATTGTGGAACTATTTTGGGATACTGGAAGTATCCTAAAATAGCTATTCTGCATCTTTAAAGCAGCTCATTATTTTGAAATAGATTTCAAAATCATGGGAGTGCTATTCGGATGTCCCTGTAACTCACCTTCCATGAGGGTTAAGGGACGTTTTGGAATATCACTTTATTGCAAAATTTGGCACTGTGTTGACGGTGCCAAATTTCAAAATAAGCTATTTTGAAATTACTTCAAAATAAGCAATGTAATTTGTGTAGCAAAATGTGTGTAGTAAGGGTGCAGTGTAGATGTATCCTAAAAGAATAAAGACAGACACTGGCTTACCTCTCAAATTTTGAATCTTGTTTATGGGCTGAATTTCATTTACTCAAGTTTCCATTATAAACCCCATTTGTCAGGGTCTGATAAGTTAACTATTAAAATGTATTTGTGGCTGAAACTTAACATACCAGTCCTCTAACTTCATTTTCAGTTTGTTTTTACTTGGCAAAATAAGTGTCAGCTTCTTATAATAGGATAGCAAAAATCTACAATGTGCAGTGGGATGTTGTTTGTTTTTTTGTGGCTCTATAATTGCCTTAAATCAGGGCACTATGCTTCAAGAAAAATAGCAGCAGGAAACACATTCCACATCATATCCTAGGCTCTATTGGAAGGCTGTCAGATACAACAATTTTGTCACCTATACTACAATACACTTGAACCTCTGTACTCTGGGAGTCCCTAATCCAGAAACACCTGTGGTATAGAGGAGGAAGTGGCTCCGCATGCTGCTGTTGCTCCCCCTCTCTACCAGCTGGTGGAATAACAACACACTGACCACTTCCCTGGAGGCTCTTCTCCACCGCTCCCATGGTGGCAGGGGGCAGTGTGTGAGGGCGGTGCTTGGAGGCAGCAGGGACTGCAGAGCCATGGATGTCCCTCATGCCCAGACTCCACAGCACTGTCCCAGGCCCAGCAAAATCCTTAATCTGGCATACCCTGATTTCCAAGGTTGTTGGATTAAGGAGGTTCAAGTGTACTTAACCCAAATTTAATTATCTATCATGTAATTAAATGAAGTTCACAAGCCTTAACTTTGTATTTCAATTCAGGAATCTACCTAATCCTTTAAAGTAATTTCAATCATGCTTCTATATATCATTATCCACCAATACTCATTAAATACCTACATTTTCAGCAACTGCTATATTCACATATGCATAGATAACAACACTCACCTGGTTGGGACAAAATCTTGCAACCAGAAATAGGATATCAGTGTTGACAATATAATTGACAAAGATGTTGCAAATCCCTTTAAAATATTGTCTGCATATTTTATAACAGCAGCAATCACGAGGCCCCCAAGTGCCTGCAAAAAGATTGAGATTTGCTTAAGATGAGCACATATTTTAGAAATTTTTTAAAAAGTACTATGACAGATATGGCAAACAGAAACCTATCTTCAGATTATTATATTTAAAGTTATGAAATGTTATTCAGTGGGTTTGAGCCAGGCCCTGAAAGCATGAACATTTCAAAGACCATTATGATGAGATGGGCAAGAGTTATGAGCCAAGACCTATGTGTCAATACATGCTATATGTATTTGTATGTTCTAGGGATGTAAGTGACTAATCAACTAGTTGACTATCCCATAAGCAAAAGCTTATTAGATAGTTGACATACTAGTCGACTTGTCACTTCCTCCCACTTGCTGCCTCTATCAGAAAGAGGCAGCAAGGGGCGGGGGGAGAGGAGGGAGGTAGTGCTGGGAGAAGCCATCTTAAAAGCTGGTGCTCCCCAGTTCCAGCTCCGTGGTAAGGGGCAGGACCACAGCAGCAGCATTCCAACTTTGAAATGTACAAGAGTCCCCGCTGGGGCTCTTGTACATTTCAAAGCAGAAGTGCATGGAGCCCAGAATCAGCAGGGGACCTCCCTGCTGGCCCTGGGCTCCACGTGGAGTTTCAATCTTTGAAATGCACAAGAGTCTCTGCTGGGGGTCTTGTACATTTCAAAGGCGGAATGCCATTCTAGTCCTTATTGACTCATCGAATAATCAATGTAAATCTCATTGACTAGTTGATTAGTTAATCACAATTTGAAATCCCTAGTATGTTCCTAACCCATAGGTAAGACCCTGCCTAAGTCAGGATCATGTAAAACACATCATACACCATGGAATTTGGCCTTCCCCTTTGAAATCTGGTCTCCATACTTATACAGGTTTCACAAGGGAGAACACCATTTCTCACAGTGTGGATCCTGACCCAAAAGGAAGGTTTTTTTTGGGGGGGGGGGGGGGGAGTGTTCTCAAGGCTGTTTTAGTGTTGTCACGATTTTGCCACCCTTACTTCTGCACTGCCATCAGACCTGTGTGGCCAGAGAGTAGCAGCTTTTGGCTGGACATCTAGTTCTGAAGGCAGCACTCCAGCAGCAGCAGCACAGAAACAAGGGTAGCAGTACTGCAACCCCAGACCCTACAATAACCTAGCAACACCTCCCCCCACCTCACACAACTCTTTTTGGGATCAGGACTATTATAAATTATAATACTGTGCAATTTCAGATTTAAATGCTGAAATCATGAAATGTATAATGTTTAAAACCCTATGACTGAAATTGACTAAAATGGAACATGAACTTGGTAGGGACCTATTCATAGTGTGAGGTGGGAGTCTTCCTGTGGATTCTGGAATCACTAAAGAGTAATTACTGTGAAATCTCAAAACTGGCTATGCATATTCCCCGTTTCTTGAGGCTTGGGCTGCCTGAAAAGGGAGGGATACCACCTGTTTTTGGGAGACTTGGAGACAAACACCTTTGGGGTATGACAGCTGAGTTTAAACCAACTCAAAGGTCTGTTTTTTGATTTAACAAAAGGACATGACCTTTTGTATAAAGCAGGACCCATCATGTCAAAGGGTTGGAATTAAGGGTCTCCACAGGATAACTACCAGTCAAGTGTTTAAGATCCTGTTTTTCTTTTATGAATTTTCTTTTAATGTTTTTTTACACTAACCTAAATGTACTCTGCTTTCAAAGAGCTGTGTAGTAATTGGTAACCACCAGTAAGAACACTAACCACTGGTAAAAACACTACCCTTGTCCTTCAATAGAAAGCATAGAGAAGGAGGTAGACACTGGTCAGACATGCTTGCAACTACAGGTAGCTGCAGTCAAAAATCCTGGTCAGAGAACAAGTAGGACACAGGCTCTGATCAGAGGAGAGCTGAAGGTTAGACAGGGAATAGAGGTGTAGTGACCTGAAATTGTGACATGGAATTGATTATTTCAGTGGTAACATTTAATTCAATATACTACACACATTTAAAAAAAAGTTTTTAGCTATGTATAAAGATGTTAGTACTGTATATTTTACATTGTTGTCGATATGGTGGATGACAGCAATTGACAACAGAACTCCTTCTGTAGATCACAGATCACCAACTATATTAACACCTTGGCTACGTCTACACTGGCCCCTTTTCCGGAAGGGGCATGTAAATTTCACCAGTCGTCGTAGGGAAATCCGCGGGGGATTTAAATATCCCCCGCGGCATTTAAATAAAAATGTCCGCCGCTTTTTTCCGGCTTTTAAAAAAGCCGGAAAAGAACGTCTAGACTGGCCCCGATCCTCCGGAAAAAGCGCCCTTTTCCGGAGGCTCTTATTCCTACTTTGAAGTAGGAATAAGACCCTCCGGAAAAGGGCACTTTTTCCGGAGGATCGGGGCCAGTCTAGACGCTCTTTTCCGGCTTTTTTAAAAGCCGGAAAAAAGCGGCGGACATTTTTATTTAAATGCCGCGGGGGATATTTAAATCCCCCGCGGATTTCCCTACGACGACTGGTGAAATTTACATGCCCCTTCCGGAAAAGGGGCCAGTGTAGACGTAGCCCTTGATATTTCTAGTGAGTGAGTGTACTACATTTGTGTCTCAACGATGATTATGATATAATTTCTGTATAATTGCTGGTAGGCTTTCTTTTCTTTACTAATCTGTCTTTAATATTTCAAAATTAATAGTTATAGATTTTTACTGTGAACTGTATGTTTGATAACTCAATGTTTAGATTGCTAATAATTTGCCATTTCCTTGATTTAGAGATCTAGTTTTGTCACTGATACACAAGATGTTTACTTGCAAAATTCCTATTAGCATTAATGGGAACCACCAGCAAAATTTCCCACAGCATTTATGGAGAAATAAATTCCAAGTGTATTTTGTGTAAGCATATGGGTTTAGATACATTACCTGTAGAACAACAACTATCCAGGTAAGTTTGTTATATCCTTGAAAAAATCCATTCTTTGATATAAGTCCTCCATCATAAATGTACACACCCATCAATCCAAATATGCTACCAAAAAATCCTAAGAGAAAAGACAGACTTGAAAGTTTGAAATAGAAAAACTGGGAGGTGTTCCTCATTAATAACTAGATCTGCAGGACTACTGGCATCTGCCCATGTTAATTAAGTTTCAGGATCAGGCCTTGGTTTGCAATATAATAACCATGTTTAAACACAACCAGTGGATCTGACAGGAATTAAAAAAAAAAAAAAAAAAAAAGCTTTTCCTCTAAAAAAAAAATTTGGATTATCTTAGTGATAAGACTGATATGTTCTTGGTCTATTTTGCTTTACACTATAAGCCTGCAGATAAATCAGATATATGGATATAATTTTTAAAAAGATGCTCTCAAAGGATTTTATATTTTAAAAATTATTTGATACTTATAATGAACCTTTAAGGAGCATAAAACTGAACATTTGTTTCTTTATTTTTTTCTCCTGTTTTGAATGTTGTATTTGTATTGGAGTTGGAAGTATTACAGCATTACTTCACAGAAATAAATGATGGGGAAAAATAACTATTAGATTGTGATCCCATGTTATACAAATTTTAGAAAAATATTTTAAAAATAAATGGTGATTACTACTCCTTTAATTTCTGAATAGAAAACTTAAAACTTTCTAAACATTTAACATGAAACAGTCATTACTCAAACTACTGTATCAGCTTAAGTTAAAAAGACTAAAAATGTTAAAAAAGATGGAATACATTTCACTATTATAAACTTCAAATTTAAAATCATAGTTCAATGTACTTATCATTATCCCATACAGTCACTTTAAAACACTGTTTTAAGAACGTAATTGTTCTCATGCACCAAGTAACGCTAGCAGGGGACCAGACACAACATCCAACTGTAGATTCCTTTCTATACTGTAGAAGAAAATCTGAAGAACAATTTATCAAAGAATCATCACTTTTCAACATAGTTATGAATATTTATTTTGCAATCATTTTACATGTGTGCACTGCTGTTAGATCCTAATAGTGCAAACGACAGCACAGTTTTAGTGACGTTTTAGACTTGGCTCAGTTCAGGTAAATAACTTGGATTGTGATTGTGGTCCACATCTAAAAACCTAAGTTTTAGTACAAGTTCCTCACCCTCCATGCAAATGCTGTGCCATGGAAATGGTGGGTGAGATCAAATCTGTAGGACAGTATGAGAGAGAGCAAGCATGACTAATGTATTCAGACCTGATGTGTGTGTCTGTGTAGACAGAAGCATAGTGATTCCTGGTTTCCTGTTAAGCAAGAAGAAAGGAACCAGAAAATAGATTAAGACGACTATTCAAATATGTGCAGCTTCTGTAACTGTAAATACACAGTTACATTAATTTTCCGTCTATCTTGAAAGAGTAAGAATTTATACAATTCCCTCAATTAAAATTCCTTTCAAAGTGTATTCAAATCTTGTAAAACTCTTCTCTATGTGCTACCCAAATTATGAATATTTTCAGTTCAATTCACTGCAACAAGGAGAGCACAAAGGAAAAATAAGAATTCAAATCCTGCTGGAGGTATTTTACTTAATGTAAAAATACTCAGACCACACTTGCAATACATGGAGATGATATGTCCATCCTCTGCCTACCAGAAGGAAGGGTGTGCGCCTCTGAGCATATAAGAGACAGGGGAATGGAAGTATTGCTATATTCCACCCACATGAGGAAACTAGTTTCAAATAGAATGGAAGCCAGCTCAGAATACATTGCTCCTTCCATCTTGAAAAGCCAGTCTTCAGAACCACTGTTGAGATGGGTGGCATGAGAGAGATTGGGTGTGTAATAGGATGAGGATAGAGAAGTAGAAGAATCATGATACTAGCACCAAGGGCTAGGATCATAGTTCAACCCTGTGAACAAATTGAATAATCATGTCTTTAAAATGTCAATCTTTTTATAGGGATTATATTTGTTTTTAAATTACCTTACAAAATAAAGCTTTAAAACATTTATTTTGTTCTACTATATATAAAAACCACATTATATTAAGTGCCAATATTTTTAAATCAATTCAGTGTTTGTTAAAAGTATTGGATTCATATTGCTGCACAAACATGAACTCTACTTAATTACTTCACAAGACAGTCACACCATCCTTCAAATAAATCACACAGGGTAGCTTTATTTCAAATGTTTCACAATCCAAATTCAACTGGCTACGGCTTCATGCCAACTGTTCTACAGAGCCCATTAATCTCCATTTTAAATCCAAGTAAACACACTTACAAACATTGAAATAGCAAGTTAAATACAATACCTGAGTTTAAGGCAGGATGCAACTTCTGGAATTCCTGTTAGCAAAGCAGATATCAAACTTGCTAAACATGTATGTAATAGCATAACAAAATATGATTGTACTGAATCTAATGTATATCTGAATGTTGTTCACTGTTCTTCTGAAGGCAGTTTTTCTTTTTTAAAACAGCCAAAATTGGACATACCAAGTTGGATGTTTCTGATCCAGACAGATTGTTTGGTTTCTTTTAAAATCTTCTCAAAATAAACTCCAGCAAATCCACTTGAAAAGCAGGCTATAAGGACTGCCATAAGACCAACAAATTGAGATCCCGCAGACAACTCTTTTGTAGTTGTTGCTTGAGAATCTGAGGGCCACTAAGTATAAAAACAAAACAATGTGTATACATTTTAAAAAATTATACAAATTATTTCATAAAATTAAGTTTTACCATTTATAGAATGCAAGTTTATTTTCTATCAAGGGTCCACACATATTGCTGATGAATGCAGGCAGGTTTGCGGTACTACTGTAAAAACCTGTATTATGTTATCATGTTTTTGTAAATTTCAGCTAAATCTACCATTATATTTTTCCTTAGTATTCCACTGAATCAAGGGTGAAATTCTGTAGTCGCTAAAATTAATAGCAAAATTCTTGCTAGCTTCAAGAGGGCCAGGATTTCATAATCTATGAATGGACACTTTCAATCAACTGCAGGATAAATAGTATATGTAGTGTTTATGCATATGGGCTGTGTCTAAACTGGCAAGTTTTTCTGGAAAATCAGCCGCTTTTCCGGAAAAGCTTGCCAGCTGTCTACACTGGCCGCTTGAATTTCCGCAAAAGCACTGACGATCTCATGTAAGATCGTCAGTGCTTTTCCGGAAATACTATGCTGCTCCCGTTCGGGCAAAAGTCTTTTTCCGAAAGACTTTTGCGCAAAAGAGCCAGTGTAGACAGCACAGTACTGTTTTCCGCAAAAAAGCCCCAATCGCGAAAATGGCGATCGAGGCTTTTTTGCGGAAAAGTGCATCTAGATTGGCCACGGACCGAAAATGCTTTTAATGGAAAACTTTTCCGTTAAAAGCATTTCCGGAAAATCATGCCAGTGTAGACGTAGCCATGATGTTTATTACACAAAAAAAGATGCTAAGCTATAGGCAGAGGCATATTGAAAAGTCTCTTAATAACTGTAAGATACTTTTTCATTGTTTTTAGCAACTCAAAAACTTCAGAGCAGACAAAAACCTTGTAATCCATCTCAGCAAATTCTCCTATCCTATGACTCTACCCTGGAAATTATTGAAACTGTGTGTCTGAATCTATTAATTCAAGGGGGACAATATAATTATCTATATTCAAATACTTGAGTCCCTTAATAAAAAAAATCCCAAATCACTTAAGACACACACTATTAATATTTACCTGTACAAATGCTACTCCTGTCATCAATATCACTAATGATAGCCACTGGTATATACCTAATTTCTTACTTAGCATAGACACAGAAAATAATGCTGTAGTAAGAATTTTCAATTGATATGTGACCTGAAAAGACAAAATAAAATTAATACTATACAACCCATTTTTGTCTGAACAATTATGTTCAAATCTAAAAACATAATACCTGATAAGTAGCAGCATCTAGGTTTGACAGTGCTACATACAGCAAGTTATTCTGAAGAGTATAAATCCCTGATGGAATAGCAAGCTTAAGTGTTTCCATAGGCTTGTTAAGGATTTCATCATGTAGCACTCTGTTCAGAGCCCGGAAATTGCACTCTACTCAAAACAAACAATACAAGAGATAAAAATTAAAAAGAAAAAACAGGACAGCTACAAATGGAACACTGTTTTTCGATTGCTACAAACTTTTTGTGCCAACTTTAGCCTTCAGAAAACTCAAAATTCTGTATGCTTTCCTCACATTTTTATACAGATTCTCCAAGGTATGAAACCTCTGACACTTTGCTACCATAGTCCACATTAGCCCAAAATAATAAAGCTGAATTATTCAAAAAATTAATAAATCCTATCTTAATTACAATTTCTGTGATTTAAAAAACTGCAACTCTGTACCTTCCGTTTTTCCTCGTCTTACTTATTCTTCTCAAATAGTGCTTTCTGGGTGAACAGAAGGTGCATGCCTATTACCAGGACAACCATTCTTACCCTACATCCATGACCCACCAAGTGGAATCTCTTGGGTATATATTTGTGCTATATTTATAAAAGATTATATTGTGTGCTTAAGTGCGAGGTACCAAGAGAGGTCTTCCCTGCTCAGTGGTTAACATTTCTATAGAAATGGTTTAGATCTTCTTTCTAGTTATTTTATGTGGGAATGGCAAACTTTTCTTCTCTCTTGGCATTCACATAGCTCCTTAACATCACAGCATTCAAGCACCTGTTTTTACAGCTGTCACCAAAACATAGCAATTGACAAAATATAGGAAAGCTATTTCTAGATTAAAACTTGAAACATACTGCTGTCTTTGTAGACCAATAAAATGCAGGCCATAATCTTCAAAAGTTCAGCAACAACTACTGCAGTAGAGGATAAGTAACGAGGTCCTTCCTCTTTCAATGTCCGAGAATATCGCATAGTCAAAACTAAACTAGTGGTCTGAAAGACCAGGATTCCCAAGGAAAGGTATTTTAAATTGGTAGACATTTCTTGACTTTGACTTTCCTGAAACAGAATAAAAAGAAAAAGAAGTTAAAATCAGACATTTCTTCTGTATTAGTATATTAAAAGGATATCCAGGGAACACCGTCACTGAAGGCAATTAAGACAGAGTTCGTCTATCCAAATCCCTATTCAGAAAACAATGATGTAAAACAGGGAGTCTCTACCTTCATTACACCATCACCCACTTCTGACAACAAAAATTAGTACATGACCCCACGAAAGGGGACTGAAGCCTGGGTCAGCCCAAGGGC